CCCTAAAGATTTCATTTAAAGTCAAATCTGATGAGTATGACCATGGGTCAGAATTGTCAGGGCTATCGAATGGTGTATGATTCGACCACTTTTACGTCTGCTGCATTTTTGCCCTTCCGGCACCTTAATATGATAGACAACGAGTCGTTCTAAATTGTTTTTGATCAATTTTTTTGTGACTTGTTTTGTTTATAGTGATAAAGAAATTACTAAAAGATGTCACAGGATACGGAAGTGAACATTCTAGTGTTCCTCTTTTAAGTGTAATAGATATATATCTCACTCTTTAAAATGGCTCGTGCATCTTTTATTCGTTTTAAACTATGAAATAAAGATACATTTTACATGATTCATTTATTATTTTAATCATTATGACAGTTCTCTCTCTTCGAAGTTTAACTTAATATTTGGGAATGATGGCTTATACACATATATTTTTCTTTTTCCAAACTAATTTATTACTGAATTGAGTACATAACGACTAAAAAAGGTGTCAACAAATGAAACTGGGCGCAAAAAAAAGTATTTATACGATATTGTTCTCAGCGGGCTTTTATTTTTTGCTTTGAATTAAAATTACTGTGTTTTGTTTATATATATATATATATTTCCTAATCAATAACAAATAACATTCGTATTCACACAAAAAAAAGAATATTTAATAATCGATTAAGTAAAAAAAGAAGAAAAGGAAAAGAAATGAATATCGTGAAAACGACAATAATGAATGTCAGGTGCAGCAGCTTATACTTTCAAACTAATAATGTTTGATAAATTTTATTCAATTTTCTATGTTCTGATACTAATATTATTAGATCCGAATAACGCAACGAAACCCAATTCAAATCTATGTGGAACGAATCATGAGACATATGAAATTAATGGTACCTCAATATTAGGAAAATATAAACAGGCAAGTAAAAGATGAAATATAAAATATGTCTCGGATGCATATCAGATGTAAACTTTCTTTTACTTCAGTTTTATTCTTAAACATAGTTTCAATCCTCTACTTTCACTTCTTTTTTAGGCAGCTGTGGCTGTTGACAATGCAGAATGTTCAACAATTGGAAAGTATGTCTAATTCTATTGTTGTTTAAACTAAAATCTTTGATATAAAATACATTTTTGTTTATTTTTCTTAGAAATATATTACAGAAGAAAGGAACGACGGTTGATGCTGCATTGGCAGCTGCTATCTGCAATGGTGTTATGCATGGACATTCAATGGGTATCGGAGGTGGATGTATAATGGTCATTTATTCACAGTAAGCGTTTTGTATTGCTTGACACATTCACATTCAAATGATATGCGCTGTTTTGGTTTTTTTATTTATTATAGAAAAGAAAGAAAGGCTTACAGCATTATGGCCGTAAGTTTCTATAGTAATAAATGACATATATCTTAATTCGTTTTTGTTCTCTCTCATTAGCGTGAAAAAGCACCACTGGCAGCAAATTCAACAATGTATGTTGGAAGAGAAAACATGTCTACAGTTGGTAAGACGATTTATTTTGTCTCTTAGTTATTTAGAAACTTTTATACTTTGAACAGAATCTATTTGACTTTAGTAACACCGGTACTGCTTTCTTTTATTGAAATAACCTAACATGAAAATTTCTAATAATAATAATTTTGCGTGTTTGATTAAAAAGTATTTTTCTATTCTTGAACTGAAATAAGAGACAAAACTTTTGAATATTTTAGGACCTCTCGCTATTGGCGTACCAGGCGAATTAAAAGCATACAAAGTAGCATATGAAAGATTCGGTGGCAATGTTACGTGGAAAGAGCTATTTGAACCAACGATTAAGCTTTGTCGTGATGGTTATACAGTTAGTAAAGCACATGCAAAAGTATGTATTATTAAATTATCTACTGCTTTTATTTCTTCATTTTACAATCTATTTTTCCCTAAAAGGCAATCGACGACCAAAAAAATATGATATTGAAAGATCCACAACTGAGGTAAGTATATCAATTTTAGACAATGGTTTCTACCAAATATTTCTTTTTTTTGATTGCTCCTTCATCTTTTATTATGTAGGGAATTATTCCTTAAAAATCCAGTTACTAATGAACTGTATAAGGAAGGAGATAAGATCAAACGGATAAAATTTGCTGATACTTTACAATTATTAGCTGATCGTGGTCCGTCGGGAGTAAACGATTTTTATAATGGCGATATAGCTGATAAGATTGTAAAAGAACTTCGGGACAAAGGTAGAGTAATACTCATTATCACACAATACACTCTGATTTGCATGTTCGCATTTTTTTTACTATTCATATTTTTAGGAGGCGTAAGTAATGATCTACAAAATGAAGAGTGTGCAATCATGTTCTATTTGCTTGTATATCTGACAATTTATATATAGATTATTGTAAAAGCAGATTTACAAACTTATGAGGTTGATGTAGAAGAAGCCATTCAAATAAAATTAAATGATACATTAACTGGTTTTACAACAGCTGCACCATCCAGTGGCCCAATTCTCGCATTTATATTGAATATTTTGAAAGGTTAGCTAATTCTTTTATTTTTCCGATTAATGTAAAAAAACAGTCATATTTGCTTCGACTTTAATAAATAGGCTACAGTGTACATCATGACGAACTGAATAAAACAGATGCTGCAGCATTATTCTATCATAGAGTAATTGAAGCATTTAAATTTGCTTACGCAAAAAGAAGCGAACTAGCAGATCCAAAGTATACAAATATATCAGAAGTAAGTGTGAAAGTTGGCAGGATCGATCTAACTAAGTCATAATTACTCTGTCTTTAATACCTACTACTGTTGAACTTGTTTTTAGCTATTGTTCAATCTAACATCACAAGATTATGCAAATTTGATACGAACAGAAATTGAGTAAATTAAAAATCATTGCTCAAATTATTGTAGACTAATTTTACATCATGTATCTACTTAAGTGATTCTAAAACATTTTCATACGAACATTATGGCGGAAGTTGGTTGGATAAAATCAAACAAGGTACAGCTCATCTTTCTGTTATCGGCCCAGACGGCGATGGTGTTGGTTTGACGAGTACTGTTAATCTCTAGTAAGTTTTTCTACTTTATTACTGCTCATAATTCTCTACTACTTGTGCTTAATTTTTGATTTAGTTTTGGATCTAAAGTTGTCGGAAGTGAAACTGGTATCATATATAACAATGAAATGGATGATTTTTCATCACCAAATTCTACAAATTCTTTTGGTATACCAAGTTCAGAAGCAAACTTTATTGAACCGGGTAAACGGCCTGTTTCATCGATGTCCCCACTAATTATTCTTGATCAGAATTACCGTATACAGCAAGTATTAGGTGCGAGTGGAGGAACAAAAATAACGACAACTGTAGCTCAGGTATGTTATGTTACACTTTCTTGATGTTTGTTTTTCTATCTATGATTTTCAATCTTTTCGTTCGTAGGTAATGATGAAAAACTTATGGTTTAATCAAAATATTAAAGATGCAATTGACGCACCTCGAGTTCATCATCAGTTATTGCCACCTGAACTGTTAGCAGAAGAAGGATTTGATCCTGTAAGTGTAAAATTGAAGAACTTTGGGATACAACTGAAATGAACTTCATCTGCTAATATTCAATAGCTGGTAAAAGATTATCGTATTGTAAAGTCATCTTCCACCTTTTCGTCAAAAAAAAGGCCAAGTACCATTTTGGAGCATGAAAATTTTGACTTTTCAAAGTCTTGCACTGCATACACTTTGCACATTTGTGATAGTCCAACATGAACACCTTTCGGAATTAAAACTTTCTTAATACTGAAAAATTTCACTTTTTACCAAATATAACGTTGACGAGACGAAATGAAACAGAGACCGGCGAATGTATAGTCAGTTCCAGTACAGAACGAACAGCTTACAATCGATTTACTTGTCAAGTGTCAGGCGTTTCTCCAAACTATGAGGCTGCTATAGAACAGTTATGATGCTCTGTCGACATCATCTAGTCTAAATAGCTGAAAAAATAAATTTTATTTTCATTGAAGATTTAGCACAGAAGGAGAATAGTATAGAATATACTCAGTCTGAAAGTTAAAAAAGCCTCTTACTTAGGACTTCCAAAATGCTTCGTTTGTGTGTGCATAACAAGAGTCACTTATGCGCTGATGTAACACTGCCGCGTAATTGTGGTTGGAAAATGTATTTATAATTGGTGTGAATCGATTAGTAAGAAAAGAAGTGCGATGAATCATGGTTTGCTAAACTCTCCTGCTGTGTACTAGTCTGGGTGCTTCCACACAGGTCCGCCCACTTTATACAGAGCATCTTGCCGCGAAAATTCCACTTTGCCCATCGTGTAGAGCATCAAAAATAACCTAAAAGTCTCGCTTACGCTTTTTTGAAAAAACGTGTGGAAAGTGATTTTCTAGATGCCCCAAGTTTTAGGTGAGGGTGAAACCGAAGTCGGTGGAAATGAACGAAACATTGCATAATTACATATCAAATGGTAGCTCTTGACGAGTTGATTCTAATGGTGAAGGAATTTGGTCTCGATCTAACTTTACATTCGAGTGGTACTAAATTTACTTGAAACACTCCTGAAGTTTGACCTTCATTTTCTCCTAAACGCTCCAAAAATTTTTCAAGATTTTTCAGGATGGGAACTACTTAGTAGGATCTATAACTTTGCCCATACAACTATCCTCGACACGTTCCATTTTGTTTCCCGAAAACCCGTTAAAATCTTACTTCATGAAAAGAATATTGAGCTATTAGGATTCTATATTCCTGTTCAGCATGAAGAATTCAATGTACTTCAGTGTTTTCTGAGGCTTCTTTGTGTTTCCGTACCGCAGTTTTCTAAGAGTTTTTCTGGAAAACCGAGGACTAAAAATGGAAAGTGTCGAGGATAGTTGTATGGGCAAAGTTATAGATCCTACTAAGTAGTTCCCATCCTGAAAAATCTT